TGTAACCATTAAATTGAAGAGTGTGTAATATTCAGGGCGGTATGACCCGTAGCCAGCCGTATCAGAAAATAAACTTTTATTCATTTCCACAAACAGTCAAAGTAAATGCCTTATATTCAGCAAACACAAGATTCGGCCCAGCGCCTGTATACCAAGTCCCACCTCAGGGTTTAGAGTCCCAGCCTGCTCACAGAGGGTTCCAGTAGTATTTTGTACTATATCAAGGAAAAATTACTGAACATTTTGAAAAAAAAAAAAAATTTTTTAACAATGTTATAAAACATTTATTATTACCCAATTTTTTGTTAAAATATAAAAGACGGGGGTCACGTCGGGTAAATAGACACCAAACATATCAAGCTTTAAAATTGCGTGTGCCCACAAAATCGCAAAAAAACTACCATACCCAAAAGTGACCATAGGCGACGCTTTAAAAGCTTTTACCGCTCATCAGTTTAGTGTTATCAGTTATTAATGGCCCTAAAAGTATTGTTCTCACGGTGACATGTAACATGTGCGACATAATGGGCGCAATCAACGTTTTCGCACGTATGCACACCCGACGTATGTTTGCACGCGTGTATGTATGGGTGGGAACTTTAAAAAAAAAATATTTTTTAAAATTCTTTTTCATGTGTAATTTTAATTTATTTTTTTGCAACTTTTTTCATTTTTTTTTTCATTTTTTTTTTCTCACTTAACTTTATTGTTATCACATAGATAGCAAAGATATGTGACAGGTCCTCTTCATGGAGACATCAGGTGTCTCCAAGGCCCCCAAAGAAGCTGATGAAGCTTCTCTCCAGTTTGTGAAGCCGGAGAGTGACACAAGAATGTGGAAGTGATGTAATATACATCACTTCCGCATTCTGACATCCAATATACATCACTTCCGCATTCTGACAGCGGAGAGGGGACCGGAGTGAGGTCCTGTATGGATCTCCCTCTGATCCCCTGTCATGGAGCCACCATGCCGGTCCTGTGCTCGCACGTGTGAGTGGGCTAACAGGACGTCTTTTGATGCCCTGTAACATCCAGGAAGCTCCCGGCTGACCCTTAAGTAGCACGCCGGCCGGGAGGTGGTTAAGAAGCCATGAAACCCTAACTCAATAAAATCAAAATTTACAGAAGAGCTCCAGGCAGTAATAATCTAAACCCTTGTAATGGGGCTATCCCCACACTACAAGAGTTAAGTGCTCTTTTTGTCTCTACTCTTCCGATCCGGTGATGGAATGTCCCTCGGCATTCTAACATCCAGTACACATTACACTTGGATGTGACAACACACAGGTTCTTAGACTGCCGGAGCAGCAGAATCCCCACTGCCGGAGTTCTTCTTTAAACTGCAAATTAGCATTTTTCTCTCTTTTTTTTATTTTTATGCAATGTGAATGTAACATGTAACAAATATAAAATAGATGTTATCCACTTTAAGCTAGTCTCTATGTAGAAGCTATATGGATCATCCTTTTATCAGCATAACTTTGGAGTGCCATACCCAGACCCTGCTGGACTGGAGATTGCAGAGCTAGCCTGCTATGTGACCTTCAGGCACTGGGTCATGCTTGTCGCACTATCCAGACATTGCATACTGGTAAAAGTTAGCTGCGAATCAGATCCACAATAGGTGGTCCCTTCTCCATTGTGGGATCCCGCCTTGGGCAGGTCTCCTGGTTCAGATACACAATATATGTACTACTGTGTCTTTACCACCCAGAAGGAGTAGAAGTCCTCCCGTGTCAGTAGAGGTAGTGTGGTTCCTGCTTTGAATAATCCTGCATATCTCTGCCTCGCTTACGCTCAAGGGTCAATCCCTTGGGCACTAGTTCTGCTTAGCTAATTACCTCTGGACATATGGATAAATTCACACACGTGCATGCACCTCAGATCCTAAGATGGAGATTGTCGATGTGTAGTCTAGTGCAGGTATCCCCTAAAAGGCACAAGGTATGCCTTAATAACATTGTGGGACCAGTGGCTAGGTCCTCTTTCCTTGACTGATTTGCAGCCTCTTATGAAGATTCTTTAGATGCCTTCCCTTGCTCTGCCCTTGATCAGGCAAATGTTCTTAGTCGTTTTAGTAAGATTCCAGGCCCTTGTTTCACGGCTTTTGATGCTACCCTGGATCTGAGGGATCAGAAGCTTTCCTAGATTTACAGCTAGAGGTTTGGGCAGGGCAGCTCTGAGGTAGAGGTAAGAATATTTATGCCCAGAGTTCTTTGAGCAAGCCATACGTGGCTCGACTGAACGAGACAAAATCAGTCGATTCCCACACCCATGCTAAACAACCTGGGTGCTGCAGCTCCTTGAATACAGTGGTGCTGTCGAAAAATGACTGCATCTGATGAGTTTGCATTTTGATAGAACTGATTTTTTTAAATCTAATTTGTTGAGCCTGGTAATTATTACAGTGCCACACACAAATCTTGGCTGATTTTAGCAGGAATCAGAGAAAATTCCTGTCGCCTATGGCCAGCCTTAGACCTCGTTCCATTGATTTTCGGGGGGTCAAGGGTGTTGAAGTGGAAGTTAAGTGCTGACATGTAGGCTTATTATGACAGAAGAGACTGGGTAAGTCTTTTCTGTCATAGCTCTATTCCTGTTTGAAGACGGGATGAAAACGCCAAGGGTGGAGAGTGCTGACATTGCAGTGCTGGAGGGGATTGCTTTGGTCTGTCATAATGTACTAATATGCTGTGCATACTAGCACATAATGGCTTTTTTTAGACTTCCACTATAAGGCTTCCGGCTTTCCGATTTAAGCCAGATGACCTTTGTTACCTGTACCTGTTTTGTCCTAGGTTCCTTCTAGGGATCTGTTACTTTTAGGTGTTTGTCCCTAATTTTTTGTTGACCATATCAGGTTATGGGTCTTTTCTTCCCTTCATAGGAATTTGTTATGGTTTCACCACTTGATTTTTGGTTAAGTTTTGGTTGATTTACCTCCACACTGGTTCAAATTCAGAGTTCTCGTCTATGAAGTCATTCTCTCTGGTGGTGACCCTTCAATCTATTTCTTGAGCATCAGGTTGATTATTCATGCCTTCCCTCTGGTCATGTTGGCAGGTTCCTCTATAAGGTAGGGGGGTCATCCTCACCCATTTCAGATTTGGACGTTGGTCCTTTTAGATGGCCCCTGTGATGTAGGCAGTTCCCAGTTCTCTTTGTTGAGCCTGTTAGTGATTGTTGCTTAGTTGCCCACCTCTTAGATGGACCGCTTTTGGCATCTGAAGGCCTGTGACCTTCAATGGCCAAGAAAAAAGAGTTTTTGTAATCCCCATATAATCCTTTTCTTGGTGTCCATTAAGAGACAAGAATTCAGAATACTGTCGGGTTATATTGACCCTTACCAGGAAGATTAGACACTCGTAGGCCATTTAAAGGATAACCAATCCTCTACCAAGCATGCCTCATGTAGCAAGCATTACAAAGAGAATGAACATAAATACAAAGTGGTGAGAACTGTGTCCCTCAATGAATTATGGCAAAAGGAGTTAGATGGTGAGAGTACAAAAATGCTACATCTCCACCCCAGCTCAGACCAAAGTCTGGTGAAGCAATACAATTTCAGCTCAATTTCACTCAAGGCTTCACAAAATATTTTCTTCAATAGATATGCGGGAATTTTACTATCTCTCTCATATGCAGATTATGCTCATCTCTCTATTTTAATACCAGATCCAAGTTGACAGCTCAGCAAGTTCCTTCATTACCCTTTTACATTGAGCCACATAGGCTATGGGTGCTTGTATATGTACTTAGTCTATCAAGGCCTCACTGTGGCTAAGGATTAATAATATTCTAACATAGATTTGTGATGTAATTTGAAATCTGTCAAATGCAGTGAGGTGTATTTTGGTTAAGTACTTAAAGGAGAACTATGAGGTGAGTGAAAATCACTCATGCCCATAATTCGAGCCGACGTGTGACAATGAAACTGTCACAGGTCGGCTCAATAGATCAGGAAGTGAGTGAACACATACCGTCGCTCGCTCACTTCTGGATCATCTTCCTGCAGAGAGCCGTGACTGTCAGTCACGGCTCCGTGCAAGGATTCCCCCCTCCATGCTCCAGTCGTTCAGCGCTGACTGGAGGAACGAACGGGGGAGTGGGTGGGTACAGCTGGCTCTGCCTCTGGATAGGCAGAGCCCGCTGTCATTCACGCAACTGGGTGGATCTCAAAAGCATTGTTGGGATCCGTCCCAGTGGCGGGGATCTCAGTATACCGCGAGCTGTAGCTTGCGATATACTGTGCTTTGGGTCACAGGAGGAGGTTAGTATATGTCCTCCCGTGACCCTTAAGAGAACTATGGGGAAAAAAACACTTACACCATAGTTCTCTTTTTTAAGTAGTTTTTTCCAATATGGCATAGAATTGTTTTCTGCCGTTTAGGTCACCTGCCTTTGTTGTATATCACCATGTTGAAAGGCTCATTTACCTGGGTCCACATATCTTTATTCCCAATTATCATGGTCATACCTGTGGAAATAATGCTTTTCTTTTGCCCTCATTTGGTAGGTTTTTGCTAATCCTCTCATGTGCTGTCCTGGAAGGCAATTTGGGAAATCCAGTGTTAAGACTTTCAGGAGTCTTCCAGGGCAGCTGGATTTACGGCCCTGTGTTGTGTTCTTTTTCTGTTGTATATATTTTACTTCAGATTATGTCCTCCAGTTCCCATTTGCTGCTAACCAGTTTGGCAGAAGGATTTCCATTGAAATGTATTTGGTTATGCATTTCCTGTTCCTGGTGAAATAGGTGCATATCTCTAATGTACTGTGCTGGAAGACTCCTGGAGTTTCCAGTATATTACTGGATTTTAAATGATGTATCCATGGAAATAGTCAAAAATATAAAATTTTAAGGAGGGTATACAGTCACTGTAAGCCTTTCTTCTATATATGCACATGTGTGAAATTTACTGTATGTACAAGGAGAAAAAAAGATAGGGCAGGAATAAGTAGCATTATAATTTCCCTTTTTTTTCTGTTTATCACTAAAGAAAAAAGTGTTTCTGTCTTGGAAGACCCAGATGATTCTGAGGAAGAGATTCCCAAAAAGAGGGAGAGGCGGTCATCCCGAGTAAAGCAGGTAAGATTTACACCCATATTGATCATACTTATGTAGATCCTTTTGACTGTTGCAGTCATTTAACCTCTTGCCGTCCGCCCGTAGTAAAAAAACCGACGGACGGCACTGCTGCATCTGCGGGTTGCCGTCTCCAGACGGCAATTTTTTTCTGTTAGCACGCGCCCCCTAGCGGGCACGCACGGGCAGAAAAGACCCGATCAATGCACACAACCGTTAACGGGTGTTTCACATATAGGCGATCAGCGGGTCCATAGCCCGCCGATCGCCTATATGTGCTCGTTCAAATATCTTTCTACTTTACAGGCTAAAACTTCAAAACCTCCGGTTTTAACACAGCCAGGTCAGGAGCAAGAGCCCCGCAGATCATCCACCCGAGTGAGACGGTCTAAAGGAGACATTGCCAAGGAAGAAGTGGAAGATGTGGGTGAGGAAGAGGAGGAAGAAATGGAAGAAAAAGAGCTGCCCGTTGAAAAGGATGAAGAAGAACCTCCCAAAAGAAGACGATCCTCAAGATCAGCTACTATTCATCAGACAAAGTCTCCAAAAGTCAAGCGTTCACCTTCCCCTCCTGAATTATCAGAAACTGTTTCCAAATCAACTTCTGCTGACTCAGAAGAAATGGCAGAAGAACGCGTTCCACCACTGCTTTCTCTGGAACGGTTCCAGCATCAGATGTCTGAAAAGCAGATGACCACAGCAACTGAGAAAGCTGTTTCCCCACAATTTCTCCATAAGGAGAGTTCAAAGAGTCATAGATCTCCTCAAAAGTGGGGGCGTCATGTGAGAGAACGGAATGAGAGCAGTTCCGATCCTTCATTACAACAGCCTCCAGCTGCAACTTGTGTTATCCAGCAGGCTCCTAACTTGCGTGAAGAAGGTGAAAAAGCTAAACCCAAAATACTGGATTCACATATGGCTGAAGAGAGTGGCTCCATAACAAGAGGTGCTGCAACAAAAGATGTCAAAGTGAAATCGTCACTGGTTCTTATGAAGCCTCAGGTTCGCTCAAAATCTGAAGGAAAAGCATATGTGAGTGAACAGAGCCTGCATATAGTGGAGAAGTCATCCTCAAGGGGAGTTCAAGCTATGTCTATTTTAGAGAAGCAAAAACCAGAATCTTATGAAAATAAAGAGAGCACCATTACATTATCAAGCTGTCCTGAAGTTGGAAGATCAAATGTTAAGACCATGTCTATTTTGGAGAAGGTAAACAAAGACAAATTGGATGCAAATCCAGCAGTGCGCGGTGGTGATTCTTTTGAGCCTGAAAAAGCAGAAGTAGTTTCCCCAGTCTATGGTACTGGCTTATCTAAAACAAGAAAACTAAGAATCAGATCATCCTCTGCAAATCGAAATCAACTAGACCCTAACAGTTTACAAACTGTAACTTGTCCTGACGTTAAGGAAATCCATGAAACGGAGGAGCTTAGTGTGTCCCTTAACGTGGAGCAAACTGCTGTACTTGCAGTGACTATGTTAAACAAGCCAGATCTGAAACCATGTGGACCAATGCAGACAAGGGAAGAAGCGACTGATTTACTGAGTAAACAAGTTAAAGAAAGTTTATCAACTGCAAAGACAGAAAAAGAGCCTACTGAGAAATCAGATTTAGATGTTTCTTGTTTGTCTGTCCCTGACATAATGGGAGGGATCACCAGCAGCACTGACCATTCTCTGGGTGAAAAGGTCTCTTATTCCGGCTCATTAGAACTACAGCAAAAAGAATCTATGCATGTGAATGAAATTTCTGAAATTAAACAGGCAGAAGACCAATTATCAGCTCAAGATTTTAATATGTCTGAAAATACTGTGCTGTTAGGGGAATCTAAGAAATTTGGGAAACCAGACAAAGTTACCTCTAAAATGGTTCTAGAGGAGATTCAGTTAAAGCCATTTGTGCCATTGGGTGTAATGGAATCTGAAGCCACAACAGCAACATGCGAGACATCTGCAATTGCAACAAAAACATTTGGAGGCACAGAAATGACAGAGAGGGTTTCTGCACTCATATCAGAAGATAAGCTTGATGCAGATTTACAAGAAACATCTGACATTTTGACAAATAGGAATGCTACACAAATAACATCACAGCAAGACACCAACTCAATTACAGAGCCTGTTTTCCCTGAACAATCAACATTTCCAGCAAGCACAACAGAATATTCTAATACAACTTCTGAAATAGAACCACAAGTGAATGCTAGAGGAGTTCAAATAATTCCTAAAACCATGTTCAAAAATCAGGCTCCATTTGAGGCACCAGAAGAAGCCAGGTCAATTGAAAAAACAAAACTTGCTCAGGCTTTTCTTACAGATATACCAGATGTTACAGAGAAAGGGCATGCCGAGGCTGAGGAGCGCGAGCGTGCTGAGGCTAAGGGGCGTGCTGAGGCTAAGCAGCGCAAGCGTGCCGAGGCTGAGGAGCGCGAGCATGCTGAGGCTAAAGAGCGTGCCGAGGCTGAGGAGCGCGAGCATGCCAAGGCTAAGAAACGTGCCGAGGCTGAGGAGCGCGCCAAGGCTAAGAAACGTGCCGAGGCTGAGGAGCGCGAGCGTGCCGAGGCTAAGAAACGTGCCGAGGAGCGCGAGCGTGCCGAGGCTAAGAAACGTGCCGAGGCTAAGAAACGTGCCGAGGCTAAGAAACGTGCTGAGGAGCGCGAGCGTGCCGAGGCTAAGAAACATGCTGAGGAGCGCGAGCATGCCGAGGCTAAGAAACGTGCTGAGGAGCATGCCGAGGCTGAGAAACGTGCCGAGGCTGAGGAGCGTGCCGAGGCTGAGGAGCGCGCCGAGGCTAAGAAACGTGCCGAGGCTGAGGAGCGCGCCGAGGCTAAGAAACGTGCCGAGGCTGAGGAGCGCGCCGAGGCTAAGAAACGTGCCGAGGCTAAGAAACGTGCCGAGGCTGAGGAGCGCGCCGAGGCTAAGAAACGTGCCGAGGCTGAGGAGCGCGAGCGTGCCGAGGCTAAGAAACGTGCTGAGGAGCGCGAGCGTGCCGAGGCTAAGAAACGTGCCGAGGCTGAGGAGCGTGCCGAGGCTAAGAAACGTGCCGAGGAGCGTGCCGAGGCTGAGGAGCGCGAGCTTGCCGAGGCTAAGAAACGTGCCGAGGCTGAGGAGCACGAGCGTGCCGAGGCTAAGAAATGTGCCGAGGCTGAGGAGCGCGAGCGTGCCGAGGCTAAGAAACACTGAGGAGCGGGAGCGTGCCGAGGCTGAGGAGCGCCAGCGTGCCGAGGAGCGCGAGCGTGCCGCGGCTAAGAAACGTGCCGAGGCTGAGGAGCGCGAGCGTGCCGAAGCTAAGAAACGTGCTGAGGAGCGCGAGCGTGCCGAGGCTAAGAAACGTGCTGAGTCTGAGGAGCGCGAGCGTGCTAAGGGGCGCAATCGTGCTGAGGAGCGCAAGCTCGCCGAGGCTGAGGAGCGCGAGCATGCCGAGGAACAAGCTAAAGACAAAGATCTGGTGGACCTTGAAATTGCCAAATCAAAAGGTAGTGAAAATTTTACAGCTATACAAAAGGAGCTTAAAATGTTGCCATCAGAGATTTCCACAGAAGATCAGAATGCTGATGTGGAGATGACAAAAATAATTGTGCCTAGAGGTGTGAAAAAGACAGAGATAACTGTTTCATCTTCTGATGCGGGGATGACTCAGGGAAGTGTTCTATCTACCCATGTGGAGATGACTGATGCGAATGTCCAAAGTGCTGCCCAGAAACTATCTGAAGGGAAAGCAGAAAATGTTGATGGTGTTCAAAAAACTATGATTGAGAAATCAACTGTGGCTGAATCAGAGGAAGTACAATGTCCTGCTACATCAGACTCTTCATCCTCCTGGGAGGCACCCAAACAGTCTCCTACAGAAGCTATTAACTCTCTAGAACCTAAAAGAGAAATCACCAATTTTAAAGGTTCAATAGCTTCTCTAAGTGGATTTCCTGTTGTGCATACAATAGAGCAAAGTCAGACAGAGCTCCTTGCAGATGTAACAGTTTCTAGCAAGCAAACCTTATCTCCTGACAATAGCAGAAGCAAAATCCATGAGACCATAGAGACAACAGAGAGAGTTGAATTACACGTGGAACATGAGCCAGTTATCCAGCAAGGTGATGAATTCCTTCCAGTCACTATGTCTCCAGAACATCAAACCACAGATCAATTGCTGCCTGTTGAAGAGGAGGAAGACTGTGTAAGAAAAATGGAGTCATCTGGGGTTGCTGAGGAAAGTGAAAAAGTTGCCTTGGTAGAATCCCGACGAAGGAGAACGTCTTCAACCTCCTCCTCGTCCTCTTCCTCTTCTTCCTCCTCTTCCTCATCATCTTCCTCATCCTCTTCTCATTCATCACGCTCTTCATCTGACAGATCCTCCCACTCCAGACATAGCTCCCGTTCTAAATCAAGCTCGCAAGAAAGGCAGAATCGCCTTTCAAGGTCATCATCACCGTCATCTTCTAGTGATAAGGTGAGATTTTTTTTTTTTTTTCTGAATTGGAATTTTCTAGTCACTTGTAATTATGTTGTAAAATTAATGTGACAGCAGATCCCAGTGGCAGGGGAATGAGATGAAGGTAGGAGTAGTGAACTAACTGTTTTCCTTCTACAGCAAGATGCCTAGTGTTCACAGTACAGTAAGAATGGAGACGCAATACAGGCACTAGATACTCTTTTCCCTCTAGTGTCCCTGTAAATGTACTTTCTTAGCAGAAAGAAAATCTGTGGCCAGGCAATGGACATTTTAGCTATTTACATATTCTTAACAGGCAATAATGGTTAAAACAAGTACTCAATTACCTTTTGTAGCTGCAGACACTGGAGCAATTCATCAAAGTTCACAAGAGAAGCATTGAATTCATTCAAGTTTGGTCTGGGCACTCTGAAAGTGAGCAGAGCTGGCTGAGCTGCTGAAATTAAATATTCATTCTTAAATGTTCATTGATGCAGTTGTGCAGAGGAATTGCTCAATATGTTCTGCAGCCTCAGAGGTGTGTTCAGGTTTTCTGCCTATTAGAGACCCTGTCACCACCCCATGCCTACTAAGATGGAGATGGTATGTGAATGCACTCAAAATGCAAAATCTGTGGCTGCCTCTGCCTTTCTTTACAGTGTTTTTGCTCAAAGTACAATGCAAACACATCCCATATTCTGCTTCTCCTCTGACACTTTCTGTATAAGTCAGAGGCTTGTTTTTACAGCCTGATGCTGCAGCCCCTCCTTTCCAGCCCTGCCGTCACCTGTGAGGCCCTGCATGTCACACAAGGCTTCCACTGCCAGGAGCAAAAGAGATGCCGGGGTTGGAGAGGAGGGAAACCACAGAGTATTGGACGTGTTTGCAGCTCACATTTAGCAGAAATATTGAAAAGAAATGCGGCCAACAGTTATGAATAAAAGTACATTCTCATAAAATCTTAATCTTATTAGGCATGGGGTAGAAATGGTGTGTTCAGAAATATGCAAATAGTTGTATGTGCATAGCCTGAACCACAGTTCTACGTGAGGCAAATTTGGTACTACGTGTTAAGTCCAAAGCATCATGGGCTTTTTGCTTGTCTGATATGTGTGTCACGTGTGTGTGTGTGTGTAAGTTATGAATAAAAGTACATTCTCATAAAATCTTAATCTTATTAGGCATGGGGTAGAAATGGTGTGTTCAGAAATATGCAAATAGTTGTATGTGCATAGCCTGAACCACAGTTCTACGTGAGGCAAATTTGGTACTACGTGTTAAGTCCAAAGCATCATGGGCTTTTTGCTTGTCTGATATGTGTGTCACGTGTGTGTGTGTGTGTACTGTATATTGTATGTTATAGCTAAAAATTATATTAGACTCTGTGTATGTTTTTTGTACTGAACACAATAAAAGGTGAGAATATTATTGTACCTTTTTAAAGCCATGGTAGTCTACTTAGTAACTAAAAGAAGGGCCTCAAGTGCAGCCCCCGATATGTAGCAAGAAAGCCATTTAAAAAAAATGCACAAATCACTTCAGCTGCTGCAGCTGCTGTATACATCTTATGTGTGGAAAAAAAACTATTTTTCCTGGTGGTGTTTTGTGATTTTAGCATGGAGAAAATATATGATATAAAGTCCATAAGATTCTTTTGAAAACCTCTTAGAATGGGGGCATGCATTTGCAATAAATCATTTAAGTAGGTGTGGGGAAAAAATCTAAAACTTTGAAATAGCTTTTGACCTTTATGTAATAGCACTAAGGTCTCCCTAACATAACCTACATAAGCAGCAGGACCTCTCTTCCACTGTGAGAATTCATTTGAGGAAAACCTTGTCTGTATAATTCCTGCATAGAGACTTTTCTCTGTCTGGATACAGGGGATGAGGTATTTGAATGTGCACGTACATGGTTTTACTGGGGACTTCTAAAATAAATAGTTTTAATGAAGCAAGTAGGAGTGAAGGAAGAAAGTGGCGGGAGGATTTCCTGTGTTATTACACCAACTCGGCTTGAAAAATTCCTTTGATCAGTTTGGATGTGTGCATTTAAAGTTTCTGTCTTTGTGTGCTTTTTATCCTGAAGGAACTTCCATGTAATAAAAGTTCTCCACAAAGGGAAGATCAAGAAATATTGCCACCTGGAAACCTACTCTCACATTTGGAGACAACAAAGCCAGTGCAGGATTCCTCTCCACCTCCATCACCAAAGGTAGTGCAGTTGCAGCAAGATGCACCAACCTCTTCTGACAGTGCTAGATTGTTCGGCGAGGGGCGTCGACGGACATGCGAAGTGCCTGACAACGCACAAGTAAGTCCACTTCATTGTAACAGTTCTTATTTTTTGCCAACAAGTATATTTTTTTTCTAGACCATTAAGAGACCCAGGAGTCATGTACTGTCTGGTTATACGGCTGCATACAGATGCTGAAATTAAATATTCATTCTTAAATGTTCATTGATGCAGTTGTGCAGAGGAATTGCTCAATATGTTCTGCAGCCTCAGAGGTGTGTTCAGGTTTTTTGCCTATTAGAGACCCTGTCACCACCCCATGCCTACTAAGATGGAGATGGTCTGTGAATGCACTCAAAATGCAAAATCTGTGGCTGCCTCTGCCTTTCTTTACAGTGTTTTTGCTCAAAGTACAATGCAAACACATCCCATATTCTGCTTCTCCTCTGACACTTTCTGTATAAGTCAGAGGCTTGTTTTTACAGCCTGATGCTGCAGCCCCTCCTTTCCAGCCCTGCCGTCAC